TAGGCAGGGGCTCTACCACTGAGCCACACCCCAGCCCCTCACTGGGGATTCTAGGCAGGGGCTCTACCACTGAGCCACACCCCAGCCCCTCACTGGGGATTCCAGGCAGGGGTCTACACTGCACTGACTCCTGTGCCCTCACAGGAGATTTCAGGTAGTTACTTTACCATTGTACTACATCCTTTGCCCACTTTCTCTTTTTGAGATTTAAAAAAATTTTTTTTAGTTACATTTCTATGTGTATGGAGTGTGTGTGTGTGTGTGTCCCTGTATGTGGTATGTACATGTGATTATAGGTGCTCATAGAAGCTGGAGGGATTGTATTTCCTGGAGCTGGTATTATAGACACTTGTGTTACCTGATATAGGTGCTGGGAACTGAATTCGGGTTCTCTGGAAGAGTAGTATGTGTTCTTAACAACTGGGCCATATCTCTATTTTCAACTTTTATTTATTTATTTTTATTTTTAATTTTAAAGATCTATTTATTTATTTTATATATGCAAGTACACTGTTGCTGTCTTCAGACACACCAAAAGAGGGCATTGGATCCCATTACAGATGGTTGTGAGCCACCATGTGGTTGCTGGGAATTGAACTCATGTCCTTTGGAAGAGCAGGACAAGATCTTACTATAGTACCTTGGCTGGCCTTAGACTCATGTAGTTCTCTGGCTTTGCCTTTTAAGTGCCAGGAATAAAATGTGTGCCTTTGTGCATTACCTTCTTTTGACTTTTTATTTTGTGATAGGTTCTCATTAAGATGCCCAAATTGGCTTTGAACCTAGTCTATACCCTTCATGGCGATTTAACTTTTAACTAACCTGTTTCAGCCTCCCAAGTAGCTGTCTTAAGAGGCCTGGCCCAGCAGCTGAGCTCTGAAGCTGAGTTCTGATGCTGGCCTGCATCTTGGCCAGGACCTGCTGTCTTTCCATCCTGGGTCACCTTCTGTTGGAATGTTGACATGCAGGTGTGAGGGACGCTTAGAGTGTGATGGAGGTCTGAGGTGTGGAAAACGCTGAGGTAGACACATGGGGTCCTGGGTGCTGGATGTGGTACCCTGTATGGATGCTAATAGACTGTAGAATATCAGACGTAGCTAGAACCAGCTTCCCTAGAGGCTATGACCCATATCTGTAACAGTGACCCACGTCTGTATCAGTGGTGTGGTGCACAGCAGGCATTGAGCTGGGATGCTGGTGTTGTCTACTCCCCACATGCTTGAGGACAGGGCTGGGTTCTGTCCTGGGTAGCATATGGGAGCTGCGCTGTCCTTCCTTTCTCCTTGGTCTCTGTGTGTGGAAGTTGTGCTTGGGTACTTTTGGTTCATTGTCTGCATGCAGATGGGACCTTAGTGAGCAGCCAAGTTTTTTTTTTTCTTCCAGATGATTAGTTCATTGAAGGGGCGTGTCTCCGAGCTGCAGTTGAGTGCGATGGACCAGAAGGTCCAGGTCAAGCGCCTGGAGTCTGAGAAGCAGGAGCTGAAGGAGCAGCTGGAGCTGCAGCAGCGGTGAGAGCATGGCCAGCCCGTGTCAGTCACTAAGGCAGTCCCTAGACTGCATGACAGTGGTGAGAGCATGGCCAGCCCGTGTCAGTCACTAATGCAGTCCATAGACTGCATGACAGTGGTGAGAGCATGGCCAGCCCATGTCAGTCACTAAGGCAGTCCATAGACTGCATGAAGGACACACAGCAAGGCCTCTGGACTTGGGAAGTGTGCATCTGAATAAGAGGGTGATAGCTTAGTTCCTTTCTTTTTGGGTGGCCTCTGATGCTTGCAGTGATACCAGGTTAGCAGGCACTGTGGATTGAGTGGTGGACAGAGAGCTAGGTAGTGCCACAGGTAGCCTGGGTTCCCTTGTAACCCTATCAGACAATGTCACAGTCTTAGAGCCTATTGGCTTAGGACTTGAGGTTTCCCTGGATAAGGTGTGTGTGTGTGTGTGTGTGTGTGTGTGTGTGTGTGTGTGTCTCCATGCTGGGGTGGCATTATGGACTGGCCTTCCACGTACTATGCCCTTCTCTCACAGGAAATGGCAGGAGGCAAATCAGAAGATCCAGGAGCTGCAGGCCAGTCAAGAAGAGAGAAGTGACCAGGAGCAGAAGATTAAGGTAGGTGCTTCCTGTCAGTCTCTGCAGCCTCCTGTCACTCCTGTCACTCCCACACCCTCCTGCCTGGAGGTGTGCTCAGTGGCATGTGAGGATGCATGCTGATTGTCTTGTGGATGCTGGGCCCTCCTTGGGAGGCCACAATGAGTATTCAGGTGCTCAAGTGCATCGGTGATGAAGACACACTGGAAATCACAGGAAAAGGCTAACACAGGGGACTTCAATCTAGGCTTAGAGAGGTGCGCATAGGACACACCTGTGAGCCCAGCCATAGAGCCTGAGATGAGGGTCATGAGTTTAGGACCAAGTACTCCATGAAGTAGGTTTAGAGGAGTGGAAATCCTGTTGGAGTCTGCATGGCCAGAGCATGGCTGAGCTAGGTCACCAAGCCAGGGCTGTTGATTTACCTTCAGCCTCCTTTCCCCTAGTGGGTCGACTGGAGAGGTGGAGATGTCAGCTCCCTTCCATGGGTTCCTGTTGCCTTCAGTGTGATAGCCAGGCCCAAGAGGAGACCAGTATTAGTTGTCTCCCTGCTGCCCCTGCTCTCTCTCTCTCTGTGTGTGTGTGTGTGTGTGTGTGTGTGTGTGTGTGTGCTCCATGACAGTAGGCTAGCAATTGCTCCTTGTGCCTCTGGCACTGGTTTACCTGGGCCTGTTATCTTTTTTATTTATTTGCTTAAAGCTCTATTTTTATTTTTATATATGTGTGGGTGTGGAAGTCAGCAGAGGCCAGAAGAGGCTTGGAATTGGAGTTAAGTTGTGAGCTGCCTAACCGGGTGCAAAGAACTGAATTTGGGTCCTCTTGAAGAGCAACAAGTGTTGTTAGTTGCTGAACCTTTTCTCTAGGCCTGACCCCAGCCTTCTTACCTCTCATTATTCCCTTGTGCATAGAGGTTGACCAGTTGGTCTTCTCTGTCATTTTGTTCCCACTGCTTGACTCTACCTGGATGGAGCTGGGCTCTGTGAGGGTCTTGATCAATTGTTTTGGTCCTGGCTTTATATACAGCTTGTTCAGTGACTTGTCACAGGTGCCAGTGCTACCTTGTTGAGGGCAATAGAGACAGGTGCAGCGTAGGCAGTCCTGTTGTACAGTGGGGACAGATGGCAAAAGTTGAGGTCCACCACCCACACAGCACAAGCTGACCACAGGTGGCCAAAGGGGCCTGGGGCCCTGGACAGTTGAGAACCAGGGGGCTGGATGGTGTGTGGCCAGGCACAGACAGGAGGGACAATGGTGTAGGTACTGGCTCTTGGTTGCTCCAGGGCTGCTCTAGAGGTGGTGTTGAGGATGCAGCATAGCAGGTTAGCCCTGGAAGACTTCCTGTACGGTTTGTGTGACAGAGACCATTGAGGTCCTAGGACACATTAGACCTTTGAGGCTTCCTTGGCTTTGTTTAAAAAAAAAAAAAAAAGGCTTATTTAATTAAGAATTAGGTGTATATGTATGTATGTATGTGTGAGAATGTGTGTGTGAATTCAGGTGTACAGACATGCAGGTGTCACAGGGAGGCCAGTGATGTCATCTCCCCTGGGCCTGGAGTTGTGTGTTTGACGTGTGTGCGGGCGGTTAGTGTTGTTCCTCAGAATGTTGTCTGTTTTTTTCTTTTTTGGACAGGCCTGGCTGGCTTGGTTTTAAATGTACTCTTCTCTTATTTATTTATTTATTTATTTATTTATTCATTCATTCATTCATTCATTCATTCAAGTTGTTCTATGTAGCCCTGGGTGTCCTAGAAATCACTATGTAGATCAGGCTGGCCTTGAACTCACAGAGATCCACTTGTCTCTGCCTCCTGAGTACTGGGATTAAAAGCCTGTGTTACCATACCAGTGTTTAAAAAAAGTGTGTGTGTGTGTGTGTGTGTGTGTGTGTATTGGGAAGCAGTGAGGGGATTTAGGGCCTCATGCTTTCTTGCATGGCAAGTGACTGAGCTAGCTTCCTAGCTTTTGGTACCTCAACTTTTTGTATCTTCTCTTAAACTGCCCACCATGATCTCCATGTCTGTCTGTCTGTCTTCTCCAGATCATTCCATAGTTGGAGGCCTGCGTGTCCTGCAGGCCAGCCTGTCTGTTTCACAGAAGCTATTTGCAGTTCTTCTGGCTGCTTACTGTCCTTTCTCGTCTTTGCTCACAGGACCTGGAGCAGAAGCTGTGTCTGCAAGAGCAGGACGCAGCTGTGGTGAAGAGCGTGAAGTCCGAGCTGATGCGGCTGCCGAGGATGGAGGGTGAGCTGAAGAGGCTGCGCGAGGAGAACGCTCATCTAAGGTGAGGAGGGCTCATGCACAGCCCGTGCCCCTTGGTGGTTGGTAGTTGGCTCCCTGGGCTTGATGTCCTTTGGGCTTGTCCTCCATATGTGTGACTGTTCTGCCCTGTAGGGAGATGAGGGAGACCAATGGGCTGCTCACAGAGGAGCTGGAAGGTTTGCAGAGGAAGCTGGGCCGACAGGAGAAGATGCAGGAAGCTCTGGTTGACCTGGAGTTGGAGAAGGAGGTGAGTAGTGGATGAGTCGTTTCTCCAGGGCTGTCCTCTCCCTGTCCGGAGCACCTTGGGCATTTCCATTACACGTTGTAGCTGGTCAGCCGTGGGGATGCTGTGCTTGGGTGGTGGGTAGTGCAGTCAGTTCTGAGACTCTGCAGTCACTGCTGCCTGTTATAAATAGGAGCTTCTTTGACTAAAGCTGACAGTGATATGTTCTGTGGGCACAAGCGATTTAGAGGGCAGCATGACAGATCCATTGCACACAACAAGAGTTGTTGCTTCTGTACTAAGGTCTGTCCTCACCCATGAGCTTTTGACTGGGTTTGCAGTACCGGATGGGGGTTCCCTCCTCTGGAGTGAGCATCAAGTCCAATCAGAAAGCAGTTGGTTACCCTGGTAAAATACCTGCCGTCGTTGCACCTGTAGGCTCGTTTTGGCTGCTTGTTATGATGCACACAGGCTCTGAAGCTGGGTAAGACTGTTGATGATAGTTCTTCCGAGCAGCCAGCATAGCACCTTGCCGAATCCAAGGACTAGTTAGCAGGGAGGAAGCCTCTCGCTGAGTTCTAGCTTGATTTATCTGTTCTCCATAGTATGTGCTGCCTTTAGCAACAATGTCTTACCATGTAATTCTAGTGGGCAACCAGTAGCAGTGGCTATTTTCTTACATTGTATTAGAGCCTCGCAGGCCTCTCTGATCTCCTTTTTGTTTTGAGACAGTGTCTTACCTGTAACCTGGGGCTAGCTAATTCAGCTAGGCTGGGTGGTCAGTGAGCGCTGCCTGCCTGTCCTCCTCCAGCACTGGATTCTAGGTGTTTGTTCCTATGCCCAGTTTTTGTTAAATTAGTATCGGGGAATGAATGCAGGTTTCATTCTTGTGTGGTAAGCTGTTTGCTTGACTGAGCCATCTCCCCAGCTCTGTCTCTGTCTTCTTTTAGAAGTCTAAGGCACCAGAGTGCCTGTTGGCACCAGAGAGCTCTGTGTGACCAGCCTGTGCTGTGTGACCAGCCTGTGCTGTGTGACCAGCCTGTGCTGCAGTTCCTATCTAGTTGTGCTGTCCCAGACAGGCCTTTCTAGGACACTGGCTTTGTAGGCAAAAAGATCTGGGACATTTCTTGTCCTTTCCCCTGGCATTCTGTCCAGAGAGCTGTTCTTTCATTCTTGCACAAGTGAGTTAAGAAGTGCAGGAAGCAGCCGACAGACAGAGAAGCACCTCACTGGGAGCTTACAGCATCCCACAGAGAGGAATCAGAAGTCCTGCTGGGGTCTCAGTGCACAGCTGTGGGTACAGTGTCTCTCCATGGCCGGGGTCCCAGTGCACATCGGTGGGTACAGTGTCTCTCCATGGCTGGGGTCCCAGTGCACAGCTGTG